TCCCATCTCCTAAAGGAGTTCCCGTGTGATTCGGGATAGTTGATGTCCCCATTCTTCATCACCGAGTTGGGACTGTCCTTTGTGTACCTGAGTGTCTTAGAGGTCTGTTCACTTTCTTTGAAACATTGTGAGAAAGCTGCTCTGTTCTGACCCAGTTTTGGGATCTGAAGGTACAGAAGTGCTCATCACCTGGTCTTTCTAACCTCATGCTTTATCCTGATATCCAGGGTGAAATAGGCCATTCTAATACCTGGCCCAAAGCCGCATTCTTGGGGCACCCAGGTCCTGTGTAGGAGCTTGGGATTGGTGCTCTGCAGCTTCTGGAGAACGCCAGGGGTCAGAGCTCAGTGACCTCGGCATTGGTTACTGTTGTGTTTTTTATGTTATTTATTTATTTGTTTGTTTATACTATATTTTTATTGATTTCAGAGAGGAAGGGAGAGAGAGATAGAAACATCAATGATGAGAGAGAATCATTGATCAGCTGCCTTCTGCATGGCCCCTAATGGGGATCGAGCCCGCAACCCAGGCATGTGCCCTTGACTGGAATCGAGCACGGGACCCTTCAGTCCAAAGGCCAATGCTCTTTCCACTGAGCCAAACCAGCTGGGGCCTGTTGTGTGTTTTATTTAATCCTCACCTGGATATATATATATATGTATATATAATCACCCAAGGATATTTTTCCATTGATTTTTAGACAGAGTGGAAGAGAAAGGGAAAGACAGAAATATCGATGTGACCGATTGTCTCCTACACGAGCCCCAACCAGGGCCGGCGCCGGGGAGGAGTCTGCAACCAAAGTACATGCCCTTGACCGGAATCAAACCTGGGACCCTTCTTCGGTCTGCAGGCCAATGCTCTATCACTGAGCCAAACTGGCTAGGGCCCAAGGATATATTTTCATTGATTTTAGAGCGAGGGAAAGAAGAAAGAGAGAAAAATATTGATGTGAGGGAGAACATTGATCCGTTGCCTCCTGTACACACCTTGACTGGGGACCAAACTCACAACCTCATGTGCCCTGACTGGGAATTGAACCCTCGACCCTTTGGGTGCATGGGATGACAGTGCTGCAGCCAACTGAGCCGCCCCAGCCAGGGCTTGTTACTCTTAAAGTCTGTTCCGTTCAGCAGCAGCCCTGTTATGAGTACCTGCTAAAAGTGCAGAACTGATCTCGGCCTTTTTAGGAGTTACAGAATAATCAGTAGCTCTCAAGTTTGCCATCTTATCGGAGAGACAGCTGGTAAAACATGAAACAAGTAACACACACAGGGGAGATAAAATAAAGTGACAGAAGGAGTTGTGGAGAAGACGCTGTGAAGAGTTATCGAAGAAAGAAATCAGTGAAGTTTTCTATGATCAATAGATGCTATTTTGATTAGCTGCTCAGTTGTTGTGGGCTCTTCTTCACTTTGGCCTAAACCCCTCACCACCAAGTCTGTCCTGCTCCTGTGCAGGTGTGGCCCGCCACCTGGTTTTGTACAGCCACAAGCTAAGGGTGGTTCTTCCATTGTGAAATAGTTGGGGGTGGGAGGAATACTATCTTGCAACACATAGTTTTATCGAATTCATGTATCTGCCCATAAGTAGTTTTGTCAGGACACAGCCAGGCGCGTCCGTTTTCGTGTCGGCTGCTGCTTTTGTGCTGCAGTGAGAGCTGAATAGTTCTAACAGACTGAGTGGCTGGCTGCAAAGCCTAGATCATTTGTGATCTGGCCCTTTAAGGAAAAATGTGCTGGTCTCTGCTTTGTGATACTCTGGTAAATAAGCACTATGTTAGCCATAAGTGTTTTAAAATGAAGTTCAAATAAATTCTGGCCACCCTGACCAGTGTTCTCAATAGTTGGTGTCACCCCGTACAGCAAAGGGTCACAGGTTCGAATCCCAGTCAAGAGCATGGTGTACCTGGGTTGCAGGTTCAATCAGGGCCCGCGTTGGCGAGTATGCGGGAGGCAACCAATTGATGTGTCTCTTTCACATCGATGTTCCTCTCTCTCTCTGCCTCTCCCCCTCTCTCCCACTTCTCTCTTAAAAAAAATCAATGGAAAAAACAAAACAAAATTCTTCCCTTTTGGGGCATCCAAGTTGGTCATGAAGGGTTTAGAGGTCATTTTTGAGGTATTTACAAAGAAATCTCCTTTTATTCCTGTTTCTAAAAGTGTTACGGTAATCTTTCATCCACATCAAGTCCATGGTCTTTTTTCCCCCCTTAGATTCCCCAGTTCTCTCCACTCACAACTTTTGCTTATAATGTAAGTTCTTGTGTATATTTTAAGTGAACTGTGTTAAGAAAAAACCCAAGTTTGCCTCCAAACTTGAGAAATGCATCGTGTTTTTGGAGAATTATTTAACGGCATGGCCTCTCTCATTTTCAGATTATTTGTGTAAACCCGAAGACAACATCTACAGTATTGATTTCACCCGCTTCAAAATTCGCGACTTGGAGACAGGGACAGTGCTGTTTGAGATCGCCAAGCCCTGTGTCTCAGGTAGGCCTCGGTGCTGCCACGGTCACCGGATAGTTGGAGTTGGAGTTGTTGTGGCGGCGTTTGCATCCTGTGTCTTGGACTCCAGTGTGTCCCACTTCCACGACCTCCCGAAGCCTGGCTGCCGGCCTGCTGTGCCGGGTGAAGCTGAGTGGAGAGCCGGGGTTGGTGCTGGTCGCTGCGTTCTGCTCTGCGTATACCAGCTCATGCAGTCCTCACACCTCTGGGAGGAGTTATTGTTCCCATCTTACAAATAAGGAAACTGAGGCCCAGAATTTCCAAGTGACTTTCCTAAAGTCTTATGCTCTTTCGTCTTACCACGTTGCCTCCCCTTAGGAAAGGAACCCTTGAAATTGAGCTCTGATGAGAAAAGCTCACCTGAGCCCTGAGTCTGGGGACACTCTAGAAGGGTGATACTGAGGATTCCAGTCCAGATCGTGAGGCAGTTCACCTGGCTTCTCACTCTCTCTCTTCAAACGGTGTCTCATATTTCCCAGTAAGTCCTAGTTTGGATTTCAATCTCCACCATTTTCTGGATGAACAGAAAGCCCAGGCCTATGAATCACCTCCTTGGGGTTCTTTAAAGGAGCCTTCCTGTGCTGTGATACAGTTTCAGGGGGATTCATTTCTGGCGGGGGGACCACACTGTCTTTGGAGCACAGCACTGGAGGTTTAGCACCCCCTGGAGGTGGGTGTTAGAACACCAGCACAGATAACCCTTCAAAGCATCAGCGTGGTCTGTCTAGTCTTTCTGCAAAGCTTTTCTCCTCTGAGGTGCTCCGCAGAAAGGGCCTGTGAATTTGGTAAGTCCAGAGATTTTCCTGAGAAAGTCCATCTCCAGTTAGTAGCATAGTCAAGGTTAGAGCCCTGGTCTCCTCACCCCACCCAGTATTTGTGTGTGTGTGTGTGTGTGTGTGTGTGTTGGCTCTTTTCATTTTTTTCTTTAATTCTTTATTGTTTAAAGTATTACCATGCCTCCCTTTTCCCCCATTGACCTCTCCCTGGCACTCCCAGCCCCCAGCACCCACCAGTATTTTTTATGCTGCCGTAGTCTAGTACTGATCAAGGCACCCGAAGGCTCAAGCTTGTGGGTGCTAAGCTTGTTTGGGACGGTCAGGGCCAGCTAGTTTCCTGGCTGGGGAGTTCACATCCCTTAGCCACGTGCCTTATACGTAGGATGGTTCAGGGACCCTAGGACTCCTTCGTGTGTGCGGGTGTGAACTAGAATGGGCGCAGAGCAGTCATTTCAGTGCAAAACTGAGCCGTCTCCAGACTGTCAGCGGCAGGTGCCGCAGATACACTTTGCTTTTCAGCCTCTCTAGTCTCTGCCTTTACGGATCTTGGTTGACTTAGACCAGGCTCACCCTGAGGCAGTTCCCTCCAGCAGCACTTATTCGGACGAGTTGGAATCCCTGAGAAGATTTGGTCTGGCTCTCTGTTTTTTTGTTTTTCTGTTAATCTTCACCCAAGGATATTTTTCCCATTGATTCTAGAGAGTGGAAGGAAGGGTAGGAGGGGGAGAGAGAGAGAGAGAAAGAGAGAGAGTGAGTAGAGGAGAGAAACATTGATGTGAGAGAGCCACATCAATTGGTTGCTGCCCACACCTGCCTGACTGAGGCAGGGAACTTGCAACCCAGGTACGTGCCCTGGACCGGGAATTGAACCGGAGACTCTTAGTGTGCGGCCATTGCTCTAACCACTGAGCAATGCTGGTCAAGGCTGGTCTAACTCTCTTTGAATCATATGGTGAGAGCCAGTGCTTTAGAGTCTTTGGGTACGAACTCTATTCAGGCTGGTTGCCCAGTTGCTCTTGGGCTTGTCACAGTCAGAGATGTTTGATGCTAAAAGACTTCTCTAATGTTGCACCCATGTTCAGCCTAGACCTAGAGAAAATATCCTTGCTGGACACTGGTGGCTACTAGAGGGAACTGTCTCTTTGTTCACATTAGGATGGCTTTCTGATTCATTTTACAAATCTTTCATTTCCTGGGTTCAGGAATGGACGAGACCAGAGAGATCCTTACCTCATTCAGGTCCCACACATTGGCTCACTGCCATCTGCTTCTCCCTTTCCCGGGCTGTCGGTGTTAGGCCTGGAACAGATCAGTCCCAGGAAGTGCAGCGCTCCAAGGCTGTAGGCCAGAGGCTTCCACTTAATCAGCAGAATCCTTCTAGGAGTTTGTCTTTGCTGCCTGTCAGAAATGTTTGCGTTCTCTGAAGGAGCCTTTTGACTAGTTTCAACTTTTGTAACCTCATTCTTTTCGTTAGTGGCTGGCACATCAACTTGGTCAACAGGCCTTCAGTCAGACGGACCTGGATTCAAATCCCTGCTCCCTCATTTACTGTTTGGTGGGGCTTTGGACATGTTACTAACCTCTCTGAGCCTGAGCTTCCTGATGGTAATATTAACGCCTCACAGGGCTGTGTGAGGACTCAGCAGCCTTCGGCCCAGGACTGGCACGTGACAGGTGTGCAGCAGAGATCGGCCATCCTGCTGCTGGCCTTAGTACTGTTGATTATGCTGTTTGGACTGTGTTGCTGAGATGATGCGCTCAAGATTCTGTGTCCGCTTTCAGACCAAGAGGAGGAGGAGGAGGCAGGTGGGGATGTGGATACCAGTGCAGGACGCTTCGTCCGCTATCAGTTCACACCAGCATTTCTTCGCCTCCGGACAGTCGGGGCTACGTGAGTACCAGCATTCCCGGAGGGAGGGTGTTCTGCTTGTTGACAGAGAAGAGTGGTCTCAGCTGGGTTGGCTTTAGAGGAGGGGGTGGACAGACGAGGGCTCACAGAGATTGACTTTGCAGGGTGGAGTTCACCGTGGGAGACAAACCTGTGTCAAACTTCCGGATGATCGAACGGCACTACTTCCGGGAGTGCTTGCTGAAAAACTTTGACTTTGATTTCGGCTTCTGCATCCCCAGCAGCAGGAACACTTGTGAACATATCTACGAGTTTCCCCAGCTTTCTGAGGATGTCAGTACGTATCCCTGATTTGTACAGCATTCTAGGTTTGGGGGGCAGAAGGAACAACCCTGAAATCCATCTGGTCCGGGGCCCGCATTCTGCAGAGGAGGGAAATAGTGACAGGATGCAGCCACCTCTACTCGTTTGGCCGCAGGCTTCTCGTTTCCTGCTGCTCCTATCTAACGTTTCAGACTCGGACACTGCCCGCCTGGGAGCACCTTTCCCACCCCTGCTGTGGGAAAGGGAGTGGCCGAGGGAGATAAGTGGAGGCCATGACAATCCCCGGGACTCTGATGGACTCTGATTAGATGAGTGCCTCTCCTGTCCCCTGTTAGTCAGGGTTCCCACTGTTCTGCTCATCTGCTCAGCACTCTCACCTTTCCCTTCATCACAGCCTCCGATCCTAGTTTGAACCCCGCTCCCTCAGATGGACTGGAATCCATAGCTACTTGTAAGAAGAGGTTATGTGTAGCAGGAGGCCAGCATTCTGCATATAAGCCAAGGAACCGGTCAGGTTAGGGTTCAAAGAAACTCACACAGTCAGTGTTACCTGCTGAGGATATTTCCTCCGGAAGACTCAGAATAGCCACAGTCATTACCTCCAGGCTGGCCGGAGGAGTGACTGTGATCAGCTTACCACCATCTGGTACAGAGGTCTGGGCAGCTGCCTGAGCAAACAGGATTGAGATCTGGATCCCAAGACAGACCTTTTGCTGCATCATTTCCAGGTTAACAGCGAGCCATGTCTGGAGAGGGCTCCTTGCCCCTCGTCCCCTGCACCTCACCGAGGGTTTCTCTGGTTGCCAGGGGTGCCTGTGGGCAGTGGCCACAGGAGGGACAGCTTTTTGTATTTGGACCAGAATGTAGGGGATCAGAGAGACACTGAGTAAACAAGTTGCTGTGGTCTATGTTGGCAGAAAGGTAGGCGCATTCCCTGGGCACCGACTCAGAATCAGGCTGGGTGACACGCAGGGCCTGTCAGCGAGTTGAGTTCATCATATGTGCAGTGGGTCTCAGGTTCCGTTTTGAGGCCTCTGTGGTCCCAATTCCCTTCTCAAGGGCTGGCTCCCCTGTTCTGCCCTCATTATCCTGGGAAAGTGCACTCAGTTCCCGGAAGGACCAGCTTACAATATGCATGGTAGCGGGATGCTAAGTGTTTTGTCACCTCGCTCATGGGCAGACTCACACCTTAAGTCTTGCTTGCTTGTTTGCTTTCCCTGACTTGCAGTTCGTCTGATGATTGAAAACCCCTACGAGACCCGTTCTGACAGCTTCTACTTTGTTGACAACAAGCTGATAATGCACAACAAGGCCGACTACGCCTATAACGGAGGCCAGTGACTGCGGGGCTGGACAGGGGAGTGCTCTGCTGCCGCCCATGGTCCTGGCGCCTGGAAATGGTTAAAGCTGCTGTATGTCACGCACCGGGGACCTGGCCCCAGGGAGCCACAGCTGGGGGGCAGTTTCCGGTGCTCCGAGAGAGGTGCCAAGCAGCGCTGTGTTTCCTCCCCCAGTATTTTCTCTTTCTTCTTTTCCCTGCCCTTTAGGTCAGAGGTCCTATATAGTAAAGATTAGGATAAGGTCCCTCAAATCCAGATTGAAAAAGAAAGACTATTTTCATGTAGTCATAGCGGCCTAGTGGTTGTCCTGACCAGCCTGTGTGTCTGCAGGGCTGTGCCAGGCGAGGGGGCTCAGGCCTTCTGTAGGTTCCCGGGTGCCGTGAGCTGTGAGAGCAGCCTCTTCGGCTCCGTCTCTTATTCCTGGTGTTGCCCTCGGCACCATCTGACCTCAGCCTGTGCATAGTTAGAAACCAAATGGAAAGAAACTTGAAAGGGGGTGAGGGGAGGAGTGGCGCCAAGAGGTGAGGCACGAGGCTGGTAAGGCTGCCACGCCGCAGGGCCCACTGTATGGAGCGGCTGCTCACCTGTCTGACCGCACGGTCCCAGGCGGCCCTCCCGGGGCCCACAAGGTGTCAGCTGGCACCTTCCGACCTCGTTCTGAGGGGAGAGGAGCTTGCCTGCTTCGGGCTCCTGACTCAAGTACCTTCTGAAACGGAACGTCATCTCTCTCGAGGCCGAGCAGCCGGTTTCGCTTTTGGAAGTCATCTCTCTCGAGGCCGAGGAGGCCCCGTTGTATGTCTCTTTTTCCAGGCTTCTTTTTGGGAGGTTGTATGAAATGTCAGGGGTGGTTCTGGCGTATGTGACGTGCAGTTAGACTTCCGATAGCACAGTTCAGGCTCGTGGGGCTGCTCTGGCTCACACGGGGGCTGCTACAGTCACTGACCAGCAGCCGCTTCCAGGCCGCGTTGGATTCCCTGCTCAGCATGGCCGGGAGGGCTGGCTTTTAATGGGGATTTGCCTCTAAAACTCTGTGGACTTCTTACTTAGGGCCTCTCTGTCTGCCTTTCTACTGAGGTTGTTTCTGGAACCATCCTGGCAGGTCAGATCTAAGTAATGCCTATGGGTCCTTCAAACTGCCAGTTGGAATCTTTTTGGGTGCGAGGCCTCTCAGCCTCTCACCGGTTCCGAGGAACGAGTTCTCAGAAAGGCTTCCTTGCACATCCGGCTCCTTTGTCGCAGGCCTTGCCGGAGGCTCTCCCCACCTCCGCGCCCTGTGGTCTGGCCGGGCGGGTGACCCCGGGCTTGAAGGTCGCTGCGGTGGCCAGGCTTCAGCACCGATAGGAAGGCCACTCGGGAGGCCCCAGGGGTGGGACAGTGGCTGGCGGGAGAGCTGTTTCCCAAAGCGCGTGGGAGGAAGGCCGAGAGGGGCCCGGGCAGGAAGGGCCAGCGCTGGGCCACAGGTGCCCTGTGCGTTCTGGGACCAGTGCTGTTCCCGTTTGGGTTCAGAGTGTGAGTGGTCTTGAGCCTCGGCGTGGTGCTGTGTGCCAGGCCAGAGTCCGGGCGGTGCCAGATGCTGACGCTTTCTCACCGAGAAAGCCCTGGTTAGCCCTGTGTGCCAGCACCGGCTCCGACCAATGAAGGGAGGGAGGTCCGGCACCCTGCAGACCGGGAAGTCTCAGCACTGGAGTGGATACAAACCCAGGTGCCTTACGTGGGCTCTGCCCCACGCTGCTGGGGAGGCTGCCGCGCCCTCGCTCCCCCGGACAGCAGCCCTGCTCTTGCCCTCACCGTGGCTCCGCTAGCACCTCATGCCTGTCGAGCTTCAGAAGCCCCGTCTGTGACGAGCCCAGAGCCCCATCAGGAGGGTTCCTACCATTTGATGTTTAATTCGCGTCAGGGTGTGGCTTCTGGAGCTGCCCAGAGCTCTGCTCTGTAGAGGGCGTCTTGGAAATGTGTCCCAGGGCAGCCTGGGTCTGGCTTGAATAGCGCTGCGTCCTCTTCCCCACTAGCTTGCCTTAGTCTCCCTGGAGACCATGTTGAGGCCAAGTGCTCCCACTGCCCAGTAGGACAGGGTTGGCGTCCTGTGCGACTGCAGGTCTGGTGCTCTGTGCCTGAGACTCTGGACTCTTGGGTCCCGCTGCTCAGGGAAGCTTGAGAAGCATCACCACACTGGGTGTTAACCAGGGTGAGTCTGAAGTTCACGTTTTTGTTCCTGAATTGGGCAGAGAAGTGGAAGTCATACTTCCTCTCAAAGTATCTGAACCAATCAAAAGTTGAATCAGGGCTGGAGGCCAACACTAGTGAGGAACCTGGACTGTGGGTGATACAATGGGAGGGGGAAAAGCCCTGCAGCCCTGGCTGGTGTGGCTCAGTGGGCAGAGCGTCGGCCCGAGGACTGAAGGGTCCCAGACTCAATTCCAGTCCAGGGCATGTACCTCGGTGGCAGGCTTGATCCCCAGCCCAGCCCTGGTCTCAGGGTGTGTGCAGAGGCAACCAATGGATGTGTCTCTCTAACATCGATAGTTCTCTCTCTGTGTCTCTCCCCCTCCCTTCTACACTCTCTGAAAATCAATGTGGGGGAGTATCCTTCGGAGAGGAATTAACAACAACAAAAAGGCCCTGCCTGCTCTCTCTTCGTGGAGAGGGACAGCTCCTGGAGGGAGCACCTCCCCAGGGCTGGCCGCCCACCTGCTGCCCGGGCCTGCTGCCTCCTGCCTTGCTCTTGCCCCTCTGCCTTGGAGTCTCCTGGGAGAGCCTCCCTTCTCCTGTGGGGCCTTCGGGCTCAGGTGCGCTTCTAGCTTCTCCAAAGAAGACCCTGCTTTGTTTTCGTCTGTGTGCTAACGAGTAACTAGGCAATAATGAGTGCTGGCTGCCCTCCCCTCGGTGTTGCTCAGTTATCTCACAGAGGCAGCCGTTTCCAGGGGCCGGTAGGACTTCCTGAAGACACCCGTCATCTTTGGGCATTTGGTTCCCAAGTGAAGCAGGACTTTGGAACGTTGGGCCTAACCATAGACTGGCGATTCTTGGAATGGCAGTGACTGGGGAATCTTCAACCTGTGTTTTTCAGTTGAGGGTCCCAGATTCTCTGTGTGAGAGGACATACGAGGCTGTGTCTAATGTACAAACAAGGCGAGTCCTGCCGTAGTGTGTCCTGCCAGCTGGGGGCTCCCAGGGCCTTTCTTCCCTCTGTGAAGGAACCTTCTGGTGGCCACCGGAAGCGTGGGGGCTGGGGACGTCTGTGCTAGAAATCAGACACCGTGCCAGTGCGCCAGGATCCTGACACAGGCGCTGCTGA